CTAAGCGTGCTAGGGCTAGTAGGCAATGGCGGATTCGCTAAAAACGCTATGCAGGTATATAGACTACATAGCGCTACCTAGACTTTGTCAGGTTTCGTGATGAACTACTGCCTTGACGATCTCGATATTTCCACAATCTCCGAAATTTCGCTCTCTGCCTGCTGGGATCTCGGCGTGTTCCTGGCTTTCTCGCAACTGTCATTGGTAATCAAATTCCCCACGAAAATAGCGATCTATTCCTCTATTGCGATCGATTTGGATCATTTCTTGTACACCATGAGGAGACACTGTCCTCCTTTTCTGCACGCGATTCGATTCCATCCCTCAGTGTATCCCAGCTTCCACTACATTGATATGTATTCCCCTACTGGTTCAAGCTCAAGTCATCATCTAGACCGGAGAGCCGATGCAAATCACGGTTATCAGATCTTCCTGGAATTCGAGCATCCTAGTAGGTGGGAGGAAAAGGGCACGTCCCTAACATCCGGAGTGCAATCTCTGGTGGCACGCTTAGATATGACAGGTCGGAATTCTTATGGTACCTAGTAGTACGTTGGACGTACGTTGGACCTTGAAGTACTTATAAGTCAAGCTGCATCCCACACTCTCTTTAGATCTGGTATGTCAGACCGATTTATATCAATAAATAATTATTCAAGGAATATAGATACAGAAGTGGTACAGTGTTTCAATAAGTCAATGTGCAGTCTAGTAGGTTTTAAGTAATTATGAATTGAGACTATAATACTGCAAAAATAATATATGAGTAATCTATATCGGCACCATAATTCATGCACCTTACCTCGTACTTAGAATAGGGCGTTTTGTTTACTGGGCTTGTTCGAGGTTCTAATTGCATGATTGTCCGCTGGGTTGACCACAGCCATTGGTCTGGAACAAGAGATGAGATACATAATACAAGGACAATGAAGCTAACGTACTGTTTGCCTGAGAGCAAGGTCTTCAGCTGGGTAGGGTCGCGCCTCAGTAGATGCCAATAATGTGACACAGACGGCGGTGGAAATGAAAGCAGCGGTGAAACGCATGTTCAATTGAGTTGTTTGGAGGAGAATATACTAGAAGTTGGTTTGAGTGCAGTAGGCTTTCTGTGTTGGATGCTGTTAGTCAAGCTAGCAGTCAGACTACGTATACATCGGAGGGAATGATCATTGACGTCAGCCACAACCCTGTCATTGAGAAGCTGACTGAGGTCCGAGCCAATCAAAACGATTTAGAGAAGTGTACACGTTCCTAAGTCCTACGAACGGGGCAATTCGGATTGGCACCCTAGGGAACATCGATGGCGTCTGTCGCTGTGCCGATTTAGAGCTGCAGTACAACAGGTCAGTATACGAGCGTTTCCTGTCAACCATATGCCTGATCATCGCGGTCATTCCTGATGAATCAAATTTAGCACTTGATGAAGCTGATGACTTCCGCTGCTCACAAAGTCTTTGCCTTCTACCGGACACGGCGATAGCGGAAGAGGACGGAGGGATGACCATCCGTGTCAGGTGCTTTGACGTTGGATAAGTAACCATGTAGCATTATACATGAGTGAGATTAACCCTTTGGACTAAGTCGTGCTGCATTCTATTAGTATACCTCTTCTCTGCATTAAGAATTGTTTAATCATAATTACTCATTGCAGACTACAGACGGAACCGTCCGGGTTAATTAGGTGAGCACTGCGGACTCAGCCGCTGAAGTCGTTTGGCGGCAGGCGCGCTCGATGTATGTCAGGGACTCAAGGTATGTTGAATAGTTCTTCTTTAGCCAATCCAAACGCCAGGGCTGATCCGCATTGACGAAGGTATACCAAGCGGTTAAATCTCTTTTTGACCTCCTGGAAGGCTGGATTATCATTAATGAGTGTAGCATTTCGCCGAAGGAGGCCAGCCACCAAGGGTTTGTTTTAGATATCCATTAATCTTGTTTTTTGCTGGAAAGTAGACTTTATTTGTATTCTTCGTGCTGTAGTCTATTTTTATAAAATATATATTTGCACATGTTTGGATAAGACTAAGTACCAGAAGGATCAACGTGAGTTCACGTCGCTCTGATGATTCGGCGTGGAAGTAAGCTTTTTTGCGAAGTCATAGCCTTCTGCTGATTAATATGTTTCTCCGTGCATTTTTAGCTATTTATATGATACTTTCAGGGCGTACCGGAACATTTAGTAAAATAGGTTGTCAGACGATGATCACCGAGTTCGACTCA